TCTGTCCATCCTTCCACTGTGAGAATGTGAGGATGTGTAGCTGTTAAGAAGCTGTTACTGAGAAAACAGAAGACAAAAATGAAGAAAATTTGGTTGTGGAACAGATTTTATGGACTACTGGGTTCAATTTTGTAATTAGAATTGTTTGGATTGTGAGAAGCAGAAAATGCAACCAACCTCTTAGACTGAACTTTTGAGGTATAGGAAAATATCCCTGCAGATTTTTTTGAACTTGAAGAAAGTCTCTTCAAAAAGAATAGAAGCTGTGATAAAATCAACTGATGTATATGGTTGCATGTTGGTTGTGTGTTGTGCTGGTACGAGTGGATCAGACACAGCAGTGCTGCTGGAGTTTTTAAACACTAGACTAAACACTAGTTCACTAGACTAGCTGATCTGTTGCTGCAGCACACTTTGTGTTGGTCCTCCTCTAGTCATTCATCATTGGTTACAGGACGCTACTGACTGGATATTTCTGGTTGGTGGACTGTTCTCAGTCCAGCAGGGACACTGAGGTGTTTAAAACTCCAGCAGCACTGCTGTGTCTGATCCACTCATATCAGCGCAACACACACTAACACACCACCACCACGTCAGTGTTACTGCAGTGCTGAGAATGATCCACCACCTGCTCTGTGGTGGTGCTGTGGGGGTCCTGACCATTGAAGAACAGGGTGAAAGGGGGCTAACAAAGTATACAGAGAAACAGATGGACTACAGTCTGTAATTGTAGAACTACAAAGGGCACCTATATGGTAAGTGGAGCTGATGTGTGTGTGTGTGTTCAGCTTTTTGTCCTGATGCTGAAAATTGATTAACTTAATGGCTGCTTTGCACAGTGCTGTATAGGAGTGTTTTGTTTCGAAGCAGTTATATCTCACCTGTAAAGCTAATGATGTGTTTATTTCACCAGATCATACAACTCTAACAGATAAGTGAGTATGTGCAGTGTTCTTGGGCAATAAGTGCTTTGCTTTAAAAGTAGTTATATCTCAGCCATAAACATAATGTCATGTTTAATATGCCAAAATCTTTTAAAATACAGTGCACTATCATTCAAAGTGTCATACTGATTGGACTGTCAGCATTGTGTGAGTGGGAAGTGCCCACTGTGAGATTATGCTATTAATTTATTGTGTTTTGACAGCTCACTGTGCTGTGGAATGCAGCAGATTTGGCTTCCGTACAGTAACAGCCTTAAAAAGGCTTCAGGGAAACCCTGCTCTATAAATTTCTCTGGACCAGTAGATGTTTCTCTCCCACTCTGTGTAAGCCAATGTTTGTCCTCTACCTACTGGCTGCTCTGTAGTGTAACCCTATAGGAAGAGTGGCGTGAGGTCAAGCCAAATTAGCACTCGGCATGGATGGGCGATACCACTGACTTTCTTCTGATACCAAGTGATACCAAGACTAGAATCGCCAAGTCGTACTGCATAGCATATCCTACTTGTACATGTGGACACTAAAAAGTGAATGTGAAAGCCTTTGCATTAGTTTTGAAAAGACTGCCAAAGAGCAGGTGATTTGGTGGAATTAAATGAAGCCAAATGGTCTGGCTTTACAGTAGAGCATTTATTCAGACTTGTTTTCCTGTTTGCGTGAAGAGAACAGAAAGAGGCAGCCTGCAAAGTAGTCCCTATGCCTCACAATTTCATAAAAAAAAAGGATTATAAGCTGAAAGTATCAAAAATTTCTCAGAAAGGGTTATCAGGATCAGAAATGTTGATGCTGAAAGGTGCATCTCTGCCAAAGTGAAAAACATAACGATTGCTACATCTGTTGTAAACATGCCTAATCACCACTTACATTGGTGCAAAGAGTGAGATATTCCAGTGCAAAGATGCAAAGACTAGAAAAAACACCCTTCTGATGATGTATCTTGAAGGTGTGCAAGGAACCTTTGGTCCGGATCATCCTATGGGTTTCATAGTTGCGTGCCCAGGGGCCCCAGCCAATACCGGACCCCCAAGCATCAAAATCCTAACAGCTGTTTTGACTCATGCTAGGAACTTTTCTCGCATCACAATAGAAAAGAGAACTAATTTGAAATTTGTCATTGTGTTATAATTCAGAAGGAAGCTCTCCATGTCTTTCCTGAATGTCTGCTTCATTTTCTTCTCCAATCACTGCTAAGCCACTGTTGAGCTATCGGCCAGTACCTTGGTCAAGCTTTCATTTTTTTTAGCATTGATTGAGTGTTCCTGTGAATGCACTTTGAGCTTGAAGGATTAACCATCCTCCTTGTGGACAGTGAACTGCGAACTGTCTATTTCCACACATAAAGTCATCCGAGGTAAGATATAAATGGAAAAAAAGAACATTTTCAGTGCTAGCTGTGGCAGTACGCTTTAGCCTAGAATGCTTGACAGTTTGGGTTTTTATGTTTGCTGCTTTATTCTGTGTTTGTTGTATACATCTCAGCTGGCTGATTTTAACTTGTCATCTTGGTTGAGGTATATGTATCAAGAGTGGACATTTGCATTATAGGGAAATGTTGCATTGGTTGTTGGTGATTGGATAAAATATGCATATTAAATGCTGGAATGCCCCTTTTAGTATCAATCCATGCTGTGTGTTCATTGTCAATCCTTCATTCTTTATTAATATTGCTCTTGTTGTGTTTTTGTTTTGCTATCTGGTGTTGACCAGAAGATGATAGGTTCCCTTTGTGAGTCTTGGTTCCTCTCAAGGGTTCTTCCTCATGCTCTTAGTGAGGTTCTGGGGCTTGGACTCAGATTTCTGTAAAGCTGCTTTGTGACAATGCTTGTTGTAAAAAGAACTATGCAGATAAATTTAAATTGACTTTGTCATTCAACTAGTACACATGCACTCATGTCCTTGTCTTAATGTTTATGCACCAGAAATGCGCCTGAACGTGTTTCGTTATAGTGTACCACCGTATATTTATAATGACACTAAAAACTGATTGAATTAAACATGCAAGATCGCCAGATTTCTGCAACTCAGCTCTTCTTGGCCCCACTAAACCACATCACTGAAGGTGTATGCCTTGTTGAGAAGTGTCAGAGTTGAAGCTAAAGCTCCAGGCGCCAGCCCTGCTGTAGAAGTCACACGTTCTGACCAGCCTTTCGCTTCTCCTTTGCCGGAATGTGGTAAGCAATGTTGCTCTCTCCTCCGAAACCACGAACACTGGGATGCCAAAAGCCCAAAGACACAGTATTATCGCAAACCTCAGACAGTGGCGCAACTGTGAGAAATAGTCAGAGTTCCTTTTCCTTTTGCATTTTCTTTGCTGGACCTTGCCAGCCTGTCAAAGGCCTGTTCTAAGAAGAACATAAAAGAGTGTCTGCTGGGCCGCACTGATTGTAGTTCGACAAGAAGGATAACACTACCTTGAGATGTTGGATGGACTGGGTGCTCTTTGCTTAGCTTACTGATATTCACAGACAGCAGTTTTACTATGGAGAAGTGAAGCAATGCGGGTGCATTTGCAGTTTTACAGCTCGACTAGCAGGCGCTGTATGACCAAGCAAAACAAAGACAGAACTGAAAAATGGAAGAAAAAAAATCCATGGTTAAATTGTCATTGCTAAAACATCACTGTTTGAGGTATTGTGGGTAAGACAGGAATATTTGTCTATTGTTATATTTTCTTCTTTTTAATTTCTGTTGTTTTTGGAATAGTGCAAAAATCACATTAATAAAAACGGATCAAAACAAACAAAAACGATGGGTTTATTCATAGACAGTGTTTTCAATATGGAGAAGGTTCCATAACAGATAATAGCCTAGACTCTGGACGTATAATTATGCCTATTTAGTATAATTAGGCCTATTTAATTGGATTAACTGCATGAAACATTGAGTAAAATACCTTGCATTTCTAGTTTTTGATATTATTTTTGATAGAAAAACTAGAACTCGTGATGCATATTGTGTACCATTAAAGTGTCCTTGATTATTACGATACTGTATTTTGCCTTATCATCCACTCCTACATATAGAAGTATGGAAAAGTATGGAAAATACTGTGGGCGTACGGCCATTTTTACATACAGCCATCTCAGCATAGGAAGGATATTCATGTCCGCCAGGCACATTGTTGTGTCTATGAGACCTAGTGATCATTTTTATGTACTATAATGAACAACCACATTCATATTTCCTGAACATACTTCCTAGATATATATTGTCATTCAAACCTTAAGTAAATACTCTTAACTTTACATCATAAAGAGATGTTATTTAACACAAAATTATTGCACATTGAATACTAACTCAACTTTTCGCTCTTGAAAACAAAGGTGCCACAAAGGGTTCTTTGAGTGATGTCATAGAATAAGGACTTTTGGCTCTCTAAAAACCATGTTTCGAAAATATCTGTATGTGTTAAGTGTTGTCTGAGCTCTTCCCAGAACTGTGATATTATGTGGAGGTTCTTTAAAATTTAAAAGGCTCTTCACACTGTGTTTACAAAAAATGGCTCTCTGAAGAACCATTCACTGAAAGGAAGGGGTTCTTCTATGGAATCATGCAAAGAACCCTTTTGGCAGCATAGAACAGTTTGCATACTCTATAAAAATATGACTTATGAATGAATTACAGTTGTATGCAAACGTTTAGGATTCCCCAGTCAAATTAGGCACTTTGTAATTGATTTTCTAAGTGAAAAAAACGTAACGCGTCCTCTAAGGAGAACCTACTGAAAGGTGGCATTTTTAAATTCACAATTTCTATTTTATGTGGAATTTTTATTAAATGTGTTATTTATATTCTCCAGTATGTTAAATTCAGCAAATAAAACTAATTGTGCATTATAATGTGCATCTCTACAGTATGTGTACTGTATTTACCATAGAAGCAGTGGTTCATCTTAGACAACTTTTAGAAAGACAGAAAACAGACAAGGTAAGACAATTGGTTTTTGAAGCTCAAGTTTAATTCTAGCTAACATCATGTCTAGAGTGGGTCTGCAGGTAAAGATTGTGCATTTCAGACCAGCAACTGGTAAAACAGAAAGAAAACAGACATGAAGCGACTTTTTTTTTTTTTAATTTCCGGGTCATCACCGTATCTACTAGAGTGTCCTCGGTTGGCCTTTGACCCGCTGGAATGAAACACCATTCAGGACTAAAAAGACTAAGAGCAACTGCCCTCATTTACAACAGAATCGAGACACAAAGCCAAGCTTTCTAGGGTGTGGGGATGGGAGGATGTGATGACTTCTCAGTCCACTGAGCCGTTATCTCCTTTTGCACATTTGAGAGGAAAGCACGGGTGAAGACCTCCACACCATCTTGTCTTTTATTTTTTTTTACATTTTTTTTCTTTTCGTTAAATGCATGACAAGTGTGTCTTGGCATGTGAATCGCACAAGTTTGTGCCAGCTCTTGTTAGACACTTGACGTTTTTTGTCTTGAGGTAACAAACATTCCTGATACTATACAGAGGATACTATGTACTTTTGTCCCCCTGGGTCCTGGGTTAGCCAGTAGCTCATCCTATAGCTCAAAGCTGCAGCTCTATATAAATTACTATCTCCAGTCACAACATAGGATGTCATATAGCAGCACCATGTCTATGGCTAAAGGAAAAGAAGGGGGGGGGGTGAGGGGGTTAGGAGTTAGCTTTGATTGTGTGTATGGTTGGCAAAATAAAAGAGCCAATATAATAGAAGTGAGTGTTGCACTTTGTGGAACTGTTACATGAATACGATATGAAGAAGGAAAGAACTGCCGGTGATTCTATCTACTTTCCATTTATTGTGATAACGATGCATGTGATGGAAACATGCTTAGCCTCCTGTGTTCAAAACAAGGCTGCCAGCCTCTGATACATTATTATTATCATGGGAGCTGCATTAAATTACTACAAATCAACACTATGGCTTTGTAAATAGACATGGCATTCACAAACTCATATCCACTTTCAATTTCAACAAAAGCTTCATAAATACATTAAGGTCAGGCCATAAGCGGCCTAAAGGGGGGCATATAGTCTCTTTCAATGAAACAGTTAAAAACTCCAATGAGTTATATAATCAAGCTGTTTATGGCACCAATTTCATTAAATGCTCTCTCTACTTGCTCATATCAGGACCCAGAAGGATGATGAGTAATGCGTGTCCATTTGCAGTTTTACAACAGGACTAGCAGGCACTGTATGACCAAGTAAAATAAAGACCTGGAAAAAAAAAAAACGAAAAAGAAAAAAAAAAATTCCCAAGCTAGATCATCATTGCTAAATCATGACTGTTTGAGGTATTGTGGGTAAGACAGGAACATTTGTCTATTTTTTTCTTTTTTCCTCTTTTTTTGTTTTTGGAATAGCGCAGAAATCACATTAATAAAAACTGATCACATAACAAAAAAAAAAACTACCAAAAAGAAACAAAGATGTCAATAATATCATAATTTTCTATGAGAAAATTAAAACCTATTACATGGCAGTATATTGACATTTTACATAGACAAAACCAAAAATAGCAGCAAAACAAGACAAGAGAACGAAGCATGTCTTTTTTCTTTTTTGTTGGTTATTTCTTTTTTTTTCTCCATTTGAAAGTTTCATACTTGCTGGAAATCCCTCCATAGCAGCTAAATACGAGGAGTGTGTGCTCCTATGTTCTCTTCTTTTCTCATTGTACAAACACCTTAGTTCTGCAGTTTACTTTCTGATGTCCAGGCATCGCCCCTTTTCCCACGTCTCCCTCCCTCAGCCACCTCGAACATCCCTCTTCCGTCCTCTTGAGCCGAGAGAAAGCATATCTTGGGGTTTGTGCAAAATCTTCTAGAAGCCACTGAGAATCAATTTCTCCTCAACTCTGGACGATGACCACGGCGTTTCTCTGGCACTCCTCTACTGAGCTTTCGAAATCAAACAGGTGCGCGCTGAGCACACATTCAAAACCAGGTATACGTTAGGCATCCGTTTTCGTGCTCCATACTGGCCTTATGAGGGGGATAGAATAAAATAAATAGTTCTCAATCTTTGATATAGCTATTTTAGGTACTTTAGTGTTTTAAAACGCTTTGATGCGTCTGAAGCTATTGGGTGCGCATTGCTGAGCGGTGGCAGACTTGCGTGGGCCCCTCTTGTCAGGATTGCACCTTAACGTTCTCCAGCACCTGTCCATTTTGGGCAGTAGGGTAGCGGTGGACGCTGTACTGCTCCTCGGGCTTCGACTCCAGTATTCGGAGAGTACTGTGTCTTTTCAATCTCTCTCTCTCACACTCTCTTCCTCTCTCTCTTTTTCTAACCTAAAACACCATAAAGAGACCTGCTCCATGCTGCAGACAGTATAAATACCTGTCATCATCAACTCCTACTCCATTCCATGTTTTTTTTCAGTTTTGTTTTACAAATGTGGATTTTTTTCATAAGTCAGCCTTACAAGACGGACTGAAAGTGCTTTTTTTTAAATGGAATGGTTTTAGATTACAATACATAAATCTAAACAGAAAGTAGACTGTGGATTGCACTGTGAGCGTAACAAAGGGAGCGGGTAAGAGAGAAGCTTATTGTGTCATAACCAGTGATGGCATTGGCAGTGAGGACAATCAAACAAGCAAAACTATGAAAAAAAAATGTCAATGGTTCTGTCTGATGTTAAATTAAAACCTCAGCTTTGGCAATCCACAGGCCTCTAAATCATAACATAGAATAACACATGCTTAACAAAATATACTAGGGTTACACAAACCATTTTGAAAGAGAAGAGAAACATGTTAGAGATTTTTTTAGAAGTCTAGACAACAGAATAAAGTGACTAAACGCATAAGCAAGCAGAGATACATACACATGCCAAGACTGCAAAAAATGGCAGGGGAAACGGTTAGCATGTGTAACAATATACTAGCTAAGAGAAAGAAAGATCAAACATACAAATAATGCCTCTTCTCTTTCAAAAAATGGTTTTTGACACACTTGAAATAAAATTACCAACCTATTTTCTTGTCTGTAAATCTGACAAGTCACAGCTACATATGTAAAATACGTAGTTGCAATTTTAAAAAAAGAATCCTAGATTACCTATACATTTTACTGAAAACTCAAGTTATGTGGAGAGGGCCTGAAAGAGAGAGTAATGAGTAACGTGGAAGGGATTTCATCTGGGTTTTTCAACAAGGTTTTCATCAATCCCTAGTCCTCTGCTGGTTGTCCTGGCCAGCAACAGCCCAATCATGAAGACCACAGGGGGCGCCACTGAGGGGTAAACAGCGAGGGCACTCTGAGGGGCTGATTATGATTGATTGAGGTGTTGGTGGGGGGGATTCCGGTGGGGCCCTAGGTGCCCTCTTGTCCCACGAAGCCTCTGGTCAAAGCCCATACCCCATTGGAAAATAAGACTCTAGAGATGAAGAGCGGTTCCCTCAGATGTTAATGTCCCTGACGTCTGTGGGAGTGCACGAGAGGTCCACGTCCTCCTCCACCCGTTTGGTCTCTGTGGAGATGCTGTGTTGCTGGGCCTGCCTCAGACTGGACTCCAGCAGTGACTCGATCTGCTCCTGGCACGATCGCAGACAATCCTGGGAATGGAACCAGAAACATTTACTATACAATACAAAAATACTAACTCACAAAAACTCATGGGACTTTGCTTCTGCTGGAAAAGCAGAAATGCAGCGAGGGACTTACCGGGTCACTTCTGATGACCTGGGAGAGGAAGTTGGTGAGGTTCTGGGAGGAGAGAGAGCTGTCGGTGTTCTTCAAGTACAGCCCTTGCACTGCTGCAGCCACGCTGCCTGCAGCGATCATGGAGGGAGGGCTTGCGATGAAGTTGACATCTGCACAGGGTGGAAAAGGATGGGCTTCTGGTTAGATCTCACAAACTAATAGTAGAGTGGACATTGCCTCAAGGCCAATGACAGAATAAAATGATAACACTGCAAAAAAGACACATTCTTGGCCACTGAAAAGAGGAAACGCACAAGTCGGGAGTTGTCGGGAGGGGGTGGTTATAATGAAGCGTAGCGTGACTAAATGACTAAATCATAATGAGGGCGATGGTGATAGGGGACAGTCCGTGACATTTTGGGGTGACACCATGCTGGGGCAGGGCTCCAGCCTTTTAGGGTTTGGGGGGGGGTTGCTGTGCTGTAGGTCCTGCTCCCCCCCCCCTCACTGAAACTGTCCAATAAATCAAGGCTCTTCCCACAGACAAACATATCTTTGCAACATGTACAACGAATTGAGGAACAAGTGCATATGAGAGTTCTACAACATCCATGCTACTCAAATAAACAACTTTAAAATAAAGTCCAAAAAAATGACTTCCTCCCTTCACAAAGTGGCTGAAATGTGAGTGCTTGTTCAGTGGTAACTTGTCTTCCCACACTGCTTGCATGAGAGGAGAGACATTATAAATCAAAGCAGGGACTTTCCCCCCTCGCCCTCACTCACTATGGGTTTTGCCCACACATGGAGAGTGCAGCAACATAACACAACGGCCCTTCTCATAGGTAGCAGTCTACCATTTCTAGCCCAGCGACGAGAGGGCAATTGTTAAGACAAATTGAACATAAAGGCACGGGAGCCATCACCCGAAGCCATTCATGTCAGAGGCTAGCCCCCTTATGCACTACCCACCCAACCACAATCTTCCTGGCTGCCATCCCAGGCCACTTCCCAAAGAAACGGAGGTCATAAACATAAAAGGGGAGCGAGTTGCAGTGATACCCACCATGTGAAAGGAGGGACAAAGGAAGAATGAAAGGGGTATACCAGAGAGATTCCTTCCTGAGACACTAAGGGCCATTTCAGACAGACGATAAACTGACCAAAAGCTGAGTGCAATGAGTTACATAACAATAGAGACTGATGGGGTTCCACTTCTCACAAACCAAGAAAAGAATCTTTTTATGGAAGAGCCGCAGCATCCAAATGACCAGTCACATGGTGTACTCACTCAACCAAAGATAACACAAGTATCAGCAAAGTATCAGCACTGGCTTACACAGAACGTAGTGCGTCCATTTGTGTCAAATCAGAGTCTGCATTAACAGACTGCTGCCGTGAGGCACTTGGGCCTCTGTGGAGGCACAGTGCAGACACAGCAATCGCCACAAAAGGAAACAGACTTCCTCTCGCTTGCAGACGCTCACGTCAGTTTATAATACCTCCGCACAAGGAATTAGGGCAGCTCTTTCCATCCCAATAAAAAAGTCTATCTGATTGCAAATTCAAAGCATGATGTCCCTGAATGCACAAGTCGGATTCAACGCTCACAGAAGATCCTATTTAGTTTTAGCAAACAAAGAACAACCTGCCATGTCAGCTTCAAACAGATAAAGATCAAATGCTATTGCCCTTTAGAACATAACCTTGACACCAATCAAAGTGAAGAAATAAAGGTGTATCACGCATACCTGTCGCACAGAGAGCCACGAACGTCTGGGCATGCTTGCGCAGGATCTGCTTGGTGCTCTGATGTATTTGCAGCTTGGTTAGGAAATGTTCAATGAAGTCATGCGGCGTCACTGAGGCTAGATCCCACTTCAGCTTGTTCAGCGCCAGCAGCTCCATTTGCTGTGAGAAAAGACATAAAGCGGTTCACATAAAGGACTTCAAAAGCTGTTCACGCCTTCATGTGTGCTCACTGAGCAGTCTATGGCTTGGCCACTAGATGGGGTCATCTCTCAGGAGGTACAACTGGTTTCCGATTTAAGCTATTCAATTAGCAGCACGTTTCAACCCACAACTGGCTGATTTGTGGGGAGTTTCCATCACAAAGGCATTCAAATGCAGAAGTCTGCCTGCATTTCATAACTACATCCTTTCTTGCAAAAAAAATTAAGGCAAGCAGAAAACGCTCTTTAAAAGACATCAACCCATTCAATGCATTACTAAGTAATTACCAAGAGCTCGCAGGGGCGAATAGAGTTGTCGGTGTATATGCAGAGCTTCTCGGCTGTGAGCGGAACAGTTTCCTTCATCTTGGAGGCCAGAAACATGCAGGCGGCTCCCAGCAGCTGCAGCCTGCTCTTTTTAGTGGGCTCCACAGACAAGAATCTGTCCAGGTAGTTCATGGCCAAGGGGAAAACCTCCTCTTCACACTTCTGCTCCTCGCATACCTTTAAAGGGAGAAGATTTACACATGAGAGCCAGCACATGAGGGACAAGCCAGAAAAGCCTCATGACAGGAGAAAAAGATTTGTGTGACAAACACAAGTACTGAAAGTTTTAAAAAAACAAGCATAGGTGTTGTTTGCGTTAAGTATGAAACGAAGTGTGTGAAAAATGCATGAAAAGTATGCATCAGGTCTGATAAAAAAACATATTCGGAACTAATGGAGGTGTCCCACGTGGTTTGCGTGCATTTTCTCTGCACCGAGTTTGGCGTTGGAAAGGAACAGACTTTTTAAATTAAATAAAAAAGTTTAAATCCAGCGATTGCAGCGCAGATTATTTGATTAATGATTTTATTAAAGGCGTGCATGGCTTTATAGAGGCTCGCAGCAGTGGTGTGCACATGCTAGCGGCCGCTGCTTCCCCCAAAATGCTACAAAGGTGGCGTCAATTTCTAGTTCGTCATCTTTTCAAAAAATATTTAAAAATATTATAAAATTGTTGCGGCGCACCGAAACTGGCTCTAAATGTCCTTCGACGCATATTCTATCGCCTCCGATCGAAAAACGTCGAGTTTGTGAACGAAAAATGGGAAAATTTAATTAAACTTTGCAGGACATGTGAGCACGACGTGCACGTCGTCGAGGGCGCGCTTTCAAAAATTAATATAAATTATTAGCGCGGACTGAAGGCCACTTTGAACGCCTGTAAATCCGCTACGGACGCTGAGGATCCGGACCCGAACCGTCGTGGGTTCGTGTTCGGCTTCGGACACGTTTAAAAAAAAGAAAACATTTGGTTCGCGCTGCGGGCTTCAGAGCCGCCGAGCTGGAGCTCATGGCTGAACTGAAAGTAAAGTTTACGGCGTAAACCTCCTGTCTGCACCTCACAGATCCACCCAGAACCTCCAGCACGACCTTAAATGAGCTATATTAAGCGGTTCTGAGCGACTGTCGTCAAACGTTCTGGCCGTTTCGGCTGCTTTTTTAACACGTTAACTGAAGTCCTCCGCGCGACAGCAAAGATGGCGCATAATAGGCTACTGGCGCGAGTGGGATTGCATACGTGTACATCGATATTAAATCGAAATAAATTCGACGAAACCCGTTCCAGGGCCTTTCTTTGGTTCGGAAAGAAAACGAAGCAAAAATCGCCACATCTCTGAAGAGGCTTTTTAAAGCGGAAACGAGACGAAAACCTCGAGACTCGGCTACTTTCGCGAGTTGGATTTTTTTCTTCTTTTCTGAGGTAAAAAAGTCGTTAACGCGGCTATTTCGGCGACAATTCGTGCACCAAAGTCCACTTCCGAGGCTTTTCAGTCGTGACAATGTAAAAAAGAGCGATTTTTAAAGCGTATCCTCCGTTTCTAACAGGCCTAGCTAGCTTAGCAGACCGGGGTCCAAAGAGCATGAGGAGAACCGTCTTGAGAGAGAGAGAAAAAGTTGTGTAATGTTAAAGACAAGAGGAAAAAAACACTTTGTCAGCTCATACAGACCTCCAGCATCCACGTCGCGACGATTTTCCTCATTTTGGGCACGATTTCTTTCTGAACGCACTTGAAGTAGTTCGGTGCGGGGAGATAGTTTTCCTCCGCCTTCAGCATGGTGTGCAAAACTCGGTCGTTGAGCAGGTTAGCATCGTGGTAAGCTCTCCGCACGGCGTCCACCTCGCAGCACAGCAGCTGGTGCTCCATGGCTTCGACGGAGTCCTCGGACTTTCTTCTTTTCAGCAGAAGGCAGAGAAGTGAACGGAGGAAATGAAAAACTCAGGAGGCGCTTTAAAGCGAGCACGGAGGTTCCTGCGGCGGCGGCGGAGGATGATGGTGATGCTGCTGCTGCTGCTGCTGCTGCTGCTCTGTGTGAGTGAGTGTTAGTGAGAGCCTCTGAAACTCCTGCGCTGCTCTTCCCCCGCTTGAAGGAAAAAAAAGCTCCCCTTCAGAGCAATGCAGTGATGACGTGACTGTTGTTAAGGGAAGATCAAAGCGCCGCGCGGCCTGAGCGAGAGAGGGCGAGACACAGCGCGAGAGAGAGTGAGAGAGAGACACAGAGAGAGAGAGAGCGGCTGGCTGTCTGCTCAGCTTGGTAGATTCTTAAAGAACTTTGTGGTCGTTTCTTTTGCTTCCAGTGTGGAAATGGGAGGTCCTACTTTTTTTTTACCCCGGGTGGCGAACGGCTGAGGGGAGACAGCGGGGGGTAGGCAACAGAGGAGGAGCGAGCGAGGGGTCTTTTCTGAGGAGGAGTTGTATATGTGAGGGGGGCACTATCGAATGAGTGCTGGTGTGAAGATGTGTATTGGTAGAAGTTTTTGGTAGGGGGCGGTATAACAGAGCCAAATCACCGTAATTGTCCCGTGGCTCATTAAGAGACTCTGATAAAGAAAAAAAAACTCCTGGAACTTCTTTATGTCAGTTTCAGTACATTTTTTTAATCTCACTTGCATTTTAACCTCGCAGTGAAAGTTTGAACTCAAAACTTTCCCCCAACATGACTTTTGTTTATCAAATCTGAAGCTAATATGGATTCAATTTAATCAAAGTTGTGCATAATGAGTCGTAGGTTTTGAAAAATAGTTCTGCAGTCATTTTGACTTAGATTGGTTTTAAAAAGTAGGTTTAAAAGGCTGCGATCCTTTGTTCCACGCCGAGGAAGAGGAGGAAACAGAAATTAGCCTGAACCAATGAGGGACAACTTCAGTTGCCAGGCAGAACTGCGGCAGGAGCTTTTCATCTCAGCCTCTCATTGGGTGACCGTGTGCGGGAATGTGGAAAGAAAACTTCACCAAAAAGAGGACCCAAGCACAAAGAGAGCACTTTTATCACGGACAGGACGCAGTAAAAGAAGCGTCCAGCTCAAAGATCTCAAGATTAGTAAAGACGGATGCCGTGTGTCAAAATTATAAGAAACACGTGGAGAATAAAACGAGCAATTTGTTATCAAATAAACGTCTCTGCATTATCGCAGGAGTTTGGTCAAACGTTGGTCTTTCAGATGAATCCGTGTGACACGTGACACATCTTTCTTTCTTTGTAGACTAAGTCATAAACCCGTGCATGATGTTAATAGTTTTGCTCAAATAGGGGCGCTCTCACTTTAAAGACCTCACTGCTGTCGCTGGAGGATGAATTGGAGCCTTTCAAATTCCTGACATTCCTGCCTCGACGCTTTCACGTACCGTATAACAGCTAATACGGACGCGCTTAAAATCAGAAACCTGTTGCTTATTACATCAACATATCTACTTTATCAGTGTTAGAATTGACACTACAATGGCTTAAGGAAGGCTGGCTTCGAAACTGTATCTGTAAAAGTGCAAACTGCAACTGTTGTACATATGGAAAATGGTAAACAACAACAACAAAATACACAGTAACAAACTGTCAGTGACAAATCAGTTACGAAAGTAATTACAGAGTGTGCATTGGATATGCAAATGGAAAATGGCAGTGCTTATAGGGGAATTCCACCAATTTGTTTTAAAAAACTTTGTCCATAATTTAATGTTTAAGATATAAACAGAGTGGTTTGATGTGAAATGCTTAACTCTAAAGAGATTTACAGAGTCAGAATGGTGGTGATAGGAACCAGACATCTAAAGCGTTTAATACCTCTAAAAGCTACATAACAGTTGAAATGGTTATGAACACGCTGCCTGGTTCCGGTTGTTTTATGATAGTTTTAGGATAAGCTTTTAGCCTCAAGCTTATTTTCTTATTCATTCATGGTGGAGGGGAACATGTGGGGCGATGTAAGGCAAAACAAAGGAAACTTTTACTAGTGTTTAAAAACTCAGAAGACAGGGTCAGTAAGTTTCTTTACAGTTAACCATTTTGTATCAAACCACTCTGAATGACTGTGTTTACACCTCCTCAAGTAAATTATTATTTTAAAAAAAGTGGTGAAATTCCCCTTTAATCACAATCATAAAAATAATAACAAAGTAATCCAGTCTTTATTCCCTTATTCTTTTCATTCTGTTAAACACCTCTTTTTTGTGTTCGTGTTTAGACATTGTGTGTTTAGACATTGTTTTAAAGTAGCCTCATTTATTTGTTTGTTGACTAAATAAACTTCAAGAATATCCACTGCCCTCATAAAGATTAGGTCTAATTAGGTGTTAATCTAGATAAAGAATATACTTTACTGTATATTCATTTAAAACTAAAGGTTTCTGGGTGAAAAGGCAAGTGATAGGTAGATGGGGAGGGGTAAGAGAACAAGATAAAGAACTAAAAAAAAAACTCACAATTATTATACATTTCTTTTTAGCCTTACAAATATCCACCAGCAACACGATGACTGTTTAAATATCCCCATTAAACATTCCTTAGTTTATATACTTCTATTCACATTTCTACATTTTCACTCCGCAGAAACAAGGCTTACAGCACTGAGCCTTTGTTGGTGGAACATTGAAAGAAAGACCATGTGAGTTTCTGTCTTCACTGCTCTTACTGCCATTACGGTAAAGGAATAGGAAGTTTTAAGGCCTTGCAAATGCTCCTTTCAGCAGAGACCACTCTCACTGAGTGATAATTCATGTTTTATCAGTATATGTTTAAAAAGACCTGCACCATAAATATATAGAACAGTATTTTAGCTGGAAATGTCCAGCTTGTGGAAAAAGATGCTAACAGCTGACTACAGTTTTCTGTGAACATTGATGTTAATGGTTATAACTTAATAATGACAATATGTATAACAGCATCCGGAGTCCAGATGATAGAGCCAGCCAACTCTTTCGTTCATTACAATGATTGCCATTTACCAACTGACTTGTGAGGCTGTCAAAAAAGCAGACCTTTTCAAACGTATAAGGTTATTAAAATGTAGCAGGATGAAGTCTTGAAAATATGCAGGAATAAGTGAGGTGAGGATAAATCAGCAGCCCAGGCTTATAGTAAATAGGGTTGCTGCATTGTGTAGAGTCTCTGCGCTACTTCAAATCAGACATTTACTAGAAACCTTCATACTAACAATACCAAAATACTCTTAGCAAAAGATCAGTGGACTGAAACACAATTACTCAATTAAAAACAATCATTGATGAAAATTGTTCATGAACTGGCAGTGATTTGTTGGCATGATAATAATGCACGTTTGCTGTCCAAAGCAAAACAAGTGTCTTCAAAATGGCAGCTTTACCGAAGAGGACACAAACCTTCTTACTTTTAATGCAAGTTAATGTAAAGAGATTTAGTTTCAAGCAACACTGGAGCATTTCTATTGGTCCATTCGTCATGACATTTTTACACAGCCCATTTTCTCAAATAATGAAAAACAAATGAAAAATGACAAAAATGGAGATACTTTTCTGTTTTTGGACAGTGATTGTATTTTAAATTCTCCTACATTCTCAAAAAACGCAGTTAATCTGTACCTTTATGGTACAAACGCTGTGGTACGTTGTCAGTATGTTTAGTTATAAAACATAATAGAAAAGTTTCATTTCAAATTGCTGTATATGCATTTGTAACAATGTTGGATATAACAAGTTTTTGAAATGATTATCAGTGCTGATGTATGTTGGAAAACATTTTTATTTCTCTAATAAAGGTGGTATTATACATAATGTAGCATTAATGCTTCATGTATATTTAAACAACATACATAATGAAAATATAAAATTCTTGAAAGTTTTGTAACTAACAAATGTTCGATTGTACCATTTACCATTCATTTTTTTAAAGTTGCATTAACTCTACACACTCTTGACTCCAAGGTTTTTATTTTCTTAATTATAAAAACTGGAAATGAATGAAAAAATGAATGTAGTGTATCTTTAAAACTGATTTAAGGCTCACCATTGGACCTTACCCACTGTTTTGTAACTTAACCTATATTGTTTGTATCTTGGAAGACAAAAATGAACCTGTATTATATCATTTGGATTCTTTGGTTCCAGCGGTTGCTGTTATTTAATTTTCATAGTTTTAACCTCTTAAAATCCCAGGCGTGTTACATCCTAATACTTACTTTTTTTAGTAATTAAATGAAAAGCAATGCAAACTAATGAGTTATTCTTAAATTATAGGAGTAAGGTATGAAATCTACTGGTTAAAACTGATAACTTGATTTATTGTCAGAATAACTGATAGATTATTGATTAGTAATCCTAAAAGAGTGATACAGATGCATACAACCTGGCAAATTTGAGGTGGGAGGCTCGTACACGCGCTCCATTAGGACGACATTTAAAATGGGCATGCATGGCTATGTAGGCACATAAGGGTGAGAGCATAATAAATAACACTCTCTGGACACCCAGGGGGTCAGCAGCGGCACTCAGACCTGGAGAGAGCAGAGATTAGGAAACAAAAGGTTGCAACAAAGGACAGTCCACGTTTTCAGGTTTCAAACGGGGTGTCGGCCTAATTGCTACTGAGCACCCCTCTCCTCCCCCAGCACATCTCTCCCCTCTTAGCCTTAATTCTGACCCATTATCCACACGGCAATCTCCATGCAAATGGAATTATTCACTTGTAGGAACTCAACATGCAGGTTACCGTATATAACACAAGTTTGTACTGTTTGCTGTACCAACTTTTACAAAAACTTCAAATGGATCTGATCAGTTTCTCTGTACTCCAACAGGATTCTGACTTTTATAGGTAATAACACCTCATAGTAACAGTAGTAATCTATCTATCCATCCTTCCAGTTTTAGCCCACTGACTAGTTCTCAACCATACTTAAACCAGCCATCACGAGTTAGCTACATTAGCCTTCTATTACTAGCCTTCTAGCTCTATTAAACTTAACTAAAGCAGCAAACTTTGGACCTGGTTGATTGCATTTAAGGTAAGGGGAAATTTGTGTACATTTGATTTTTCTCTAACCTAATGCTTTAAAGCCACCACTAGTGGACAAAGGTGCATAACTGGAAAAGAAATTCTACAAAAAAACCCCAGTAAAACAAGGGAATGTCCTCATCTTTAAATGATGACCGTCAGTACGCAGGAAATTCACATACACTGAGAACATTTTTTACATTCAAATAGTTTGCTTATA